AGATGACATCAGTTGCTATATTGCTATATGCTAGTTGACCATATTAAATGGATATTAATACAAACATGCACAGTGCACTTTAGCTTCAGTAGACTGCTTTCCCTTTCCATTTAGTGAAAGCCCAGCCCTCTCTTACTCCCAATATACAGTGATTGCTTTTGTCCCCAGTCATCCTGCACTACCTGCAGTTGTATAATCCAGCTTCCTCTTTCTTTGTGCTTCAAGTCAATGAAGAGCCTAAGATATAGACTGGTTTCAAGCAACTCTTCTTATGCGCTAAGGCAGACTCTACACCCAGACAGAAACACCCTCATAAATCCAGGAGTACTCATTCCAGTGCTGCACACTGACAAAGCAGAGTGTAAATCTCTGTAATGCCCCCAGCAGCAGGGAATACAATGCTTCTGCTAATGTAGTGGCTGGAAAATCCTATGTGGTGTCCAAAAGCCCCTCAGTTCAAGAAGGACAGGGAACTGCTTGAGAGTCCAGTGCAGAGCCATGAAGGTGATGAAGGGAGTGGAGCATCTCCCTTATGAGGAAAGGCTGAGGGAGCTGGGTCTCTTTAGCTTGGAGAAGAGGAGATTGAGGGGTGACCTCATTAATGTTTATAAATATATAAAGAGTGAGTGTCACGAGGATGGAGCCAGGCTCTCTCAGTGATGCCCAATGATAGGACAAGGGGCAATGGGTGTAAGCTGGAACACAGGAGGTTCCACTTAAACTTCAGAAGAAACTTCTTTACAGTGAGGGTGACAGAGCACTGGAACAGGCTGCCCAGGGAGGTTGTGGAGTCTCCTTCTCTGGAGACATTCAAAACCTGCCTGGATGCTTTCCTGTGTGATCTCATTTAGGTTCCTGCTCTGGCAGGGGGATTTGACTAGATGATTTTTTGAGGTCCCTTCCAGTTCCTAGCATTCTGTGATTCTTATCATGTAACCTTTCATTTTCCAGGAGATGGGGGGTAACACAGAAGGTTATAGGAACAAACTGACTTCTGTAGCTGCATGTGGAAGTAGCTGGTAATAGTAGTTGTAGGTGAAGACAAAGAGAAGAAATAAGTCATAGGCTAGACTTGTGATGTTAGATAGGGTGAAGAAAAAACAGTGTATGCCTCAGAGAGACATCTGCACCCACCTTGTGCAGGGAAGTTCTCTCCACCAGTTGGAAAGGGGAAGGGTCTATGCGGCAGTTGTCAAAGCACACATTCTTGTTTAGCTCCTCCTGTTCCCAAGCATCTATCTGACACAGGAAAGAAGAGGAATCACTCTTACAGTAATCAGCAGTGTTGCCGCCTTGTGTACCCAAACTAGTCCCATTCTCCTGTTAATGTTTCTTGCTTCCTATGTAGATCGTTCATCTTGCCCATTATATCACACCCCTCAGGTTTCCCATCCCTTTCTTGCCAGATGTCAAGTTCCTATGGAAACAGAGCAATTCCAGTACCTCAGAGGTTTTCTGAGAAGGTGAAGTTTTGCTCCTTGCTGCTTAAAGAGAGAGTGAACATTTTAGCTTTCCTTTCTGAGTGCACCTTCCCTCTGTCATTGTAAGATAATAGTTACTTAGTGTAAAAATATGAAGGAACAACATAACCCCACAGAATAATTTAGGTGATAGAGGACCTGTGGAGGTCTCTAGTCCAAGATCCTGCTCACAGCAGGGCTGACTTCAAAGCTACATCATATTACTCAGAGCCTTACTCAGCACATCTAGCAGAACAATCTCTTCTCTTACTGGGTGAGACTTGTCTCCTGTGCAACTCTAAGAAGAAAATGTCTTTAACTATGGCTTTATGTGCCAGTCACTGAAGTTGTTGGAATTCAGAAAGAATTGCAAATGATTGATAGGAAATGGATAAAAGAAGCACTCAATTAACCTCACTCCCTTTCTGCACCCAGTCTTACCTCTTCTGGCCTCATTGTGTCAACAACTTCCACTGGCTCCTGTAGAAGAAAACACTGTTCAGGACAGACAAAGAACCCGTAGTTTTACAGAGTACAGAAAGGAAAAATTTACACAGCCTCCTCAACCCATGCAGTCCCCTTTTTGTTCCAAATAGTATACTACTGAGTGGTTAGATTTTCTTTATACTCCTACATTATATACATTATAAGATGTACTCTGTGCTCCCCTTGCCAGAGAAGGTGGAGCAATTCAGATGCCTAAGCACAGTCATCTAGTACCACTTTAGATGCTCTCAGATATCCCACATGGAGTCCAACCAGTGCCCTACAGTGGATGGGTCTCCCATAGGCTCTGTATGATATCCACCAACCCTGTGCAGATGTGTCAGATACACAAGGGCATCTAACATGGCACAAGGCAAAAGCATTTTCTCATTTTTATCTGGTCAAAACTGTTTGCCAAATGGAATAGAACTGCACTTTATTCCAGTTAGCCAAAATAGCATCAAGTTATTCACTGAGAAAAGGATGCCCACGCTCAGTCGTGATGGCAGCCTTAACACCTGAGCACAGATGGCTCTTTAGGAAGATGCACACTCCTTTACAGTAATCACACCCTTTCTCCTTCTAGACAGTTCCCCACTGATGCTGTCAGAGTTCAGGTCTATAAGTGTATCCATGTTTTGGCCAAATGCTGAATGGCTCTGAGTAGTAGTTTATATTTCCATTGAATTCCCTTCCCTCTTCAGAGTACTTCTAGGCTTTCTGTATCCCTAACCTGGATGGCACTCTCTGTTTCAAGTGGACGGCTGTAATGGCACAAGAATTGCTGGATCAGTTGCCTCAAACTCCTGAAATTGCCTGCAGGATGAAAACAAACACACAGATGAGAGACAAGAATGAGTGAGAGACAATACAAAGCCCCATGCCCATCTCCTTGCCCAAGGCAGACTGGAAAATAATATGAGGGACATAGTAGATGGTATATGGCAGGACTGAGCCAGTTACAATCTAGCATTCAATTTGTAAGATAGTAGCTGGGATATGCCAGAATAAATATTGCCATGCAATATCTTTTCCTCAAGGAGAGGGAGCCTTTGCAGATAACATTAATAGATCAGTGTCCCTGAAGAAAAAAAAATAAACAAAACAGAAGCAAGACTCCTAACACAGCAAACAATCTGATACAAGGGATAAACTGCTGTGACTAGAGATTTCTGCAGTCCACAAAGAGAATATGGTTTGGAGGATGAGTATGGAAAGGGTAGGTAAGAATTTGGAAATTAGTTCAAAGACAAAACATATTAACAGCCTGAATGTGACAGGTACAAAGGGCTGAAGAGTCCATGGGTTGAGCCAGCAGTGTAATGGTGGGAATGGAAAAGGCTGCAGAATTATTCTCCTAGGCTGGACAATCAGGCATTAGCAAAGAGGAGGTTTGGTGCTGTTGTGAAGTGAACAAGGCTGTGGAGGAAGGGTGGTCAGAAACAATGATAGTTGTGAGCCAAACTGAAAAAATTATGGGAGGGCAAGTGTGGTGAAGTCACCTCTGCTCCACTTCCTATTGTCACTCCTGGATCACTCAGTACTAGTTTAGCATAAAATCTCTTACACACTATCCTTGTTTTGATGTGATTCTTTTTCTGATTTGGTAAGGAAGGTGGATGGTTGTCCCATCATCCTACTGAAAGCATAAAGTGAATTTTCCTGTGCCTTAGAGGTTTAGTCATACATGAGTGGTTCTAAGGAACCAGAATGTGCTATATGCTATATTACATGCTGACCTTTGGGTACCTAAAAGCACGAGCCAGAGCCCTATTCTCCATATTTATTTTCAAGATTGGGCTACACCTTTGTGCTTACTCACTCTCTGCATATTTCAAGACACACACACACACACACACACACACACACACAAACAAAAAGCACCATCCTGCATCAAATATATATGATGTAGCAATCAGAAATGAGCTATGAGTACAGTCTTGGAAGCAAAGCTAATACAGGCCAGGGTGGCAGACAAAGAGCACAAACCATCAATACTTGTCCATCATATTAATGTAACTGAAACCAAGAGATTTGTGTCTGAGGGAGGAGCTGCTCAGTTTTGGAGATGACTGAGCAACAGCCCTAAGCTACGAAAAAAACAAGTACAGATGTTTAGGTCACAGGCTGCTTTTCCCAGGGAAATTCAGTCATGGGTTGGAGGAGGCAAGAGGTGGGACACTTCCATGCAGATTCTCCAGAAAATGTCTGGCAAGATGTTATTGCAAAGGATGGAGTGGGGAGCACTGACAGGGAGAGCAGCCCGAGTGGGCCTACATTTGCCATGCTCACTGAGGGATCACAAACAGAAGATATTTCCAGGTACGTTACACTGATGTTGAGGTGCATTAACAAAGTACCTTTAATAGCGGAACAGCAGAGAAAGCTCCTTCTCTCAGTCTCTGGGTAATCAGCACCTTGCACAGGCACGTACACACAGTTAGCATGAAAGCTTCCACGGGCTGGCTAAGATGTGGCTGAAGCATGACAGAAGTTACCATACCTGTGAGCTGCTGTGGCTCCGAAGTATCAGGCATTTGCTTAAGAGGATTGGTCGGGCCATTGGGCTCCTCTGGGTAACTGGGAGTGGGACTTGGAGACTGAGACAGCTGTAATGGAAAGGAGAGAAAATGAGGTCCACCCTCTGTCATTTCTTTCTCAGCCTCTCCAAATGCATTACTGCTTCTTAAGCAGTCTCTGTGTTCCAGTCTCTCCACTCCTCTCCCTCACCTCTCCCTTCTCCTCTGTATCCTCATCCTCATCAACATAAGCAAAAGATTCATGCTTCAGCTTTGGCAGGGTTGCCCATGGACCCTTGCTGTGCCCATCGTAGGGTGCTTCAGACAGCTTCTGCTGCTTTTCTCTGTTGAGGAGCCGTCGCCGTTCTGGGCTTATATGTCTCTGGAGGAGAGCCTGCAGTTCAGATCGCTCTACAGACCCCAGAAGGATCATGGTCTCTGCATAACAAAGAAGTCATTAAGCCACTGGAAGGTTTTGAATGTCCCCTGCCACACACTGCCTCTTCCTCCCTCCAACCTCTTAAAAGTGCTTGGACTGGCACTAGCTAGAGCTGCACGGGAGTCATTGACTAGCCCTGCTAGTTGCTGCTAATGCACCGTGGGGCTGTGGGAAGGTCACCATCCTTGAGTTGTGCCACTCCTCAGCACCACATCAGCTTTTTACTGGTGGAAGATCCCTCCCTGTTGTCACAGTTTAGTTCACAAACTTCCCCCACATGTCCCTCACCTGCTCTATCTGCTTCACTGCCCACCCTCCAGCTTACCTGTCTGACCAGCTGAAACAGCCTTCTGTCATACATCATCCGTAGCAGAAGATTTTGGGGATTTATTTATTTTAATGTAGTCGGTCACACTGCCTCCTTCACAGCATGTAATTTGAAAGCCAGTTTCTTTGGCTCTTTAAGCTGAGACAGTCTTCAGGAATTTCTCCACATTGCTTACCTGGTGAGTCCACCAAAGGCAAAGTCTTAACAGTGGTGCTTTGGAGTAGAGTTTGTAAGTCTCGATATTTACAGTTGGAGGAGACAAATTTCACATCTTGGACCATAATATCCTCAACAAAGATATTGTATTTGCTGTGAATTTAGGGACAATAAGGTGAAGAGTTAGCATATTAAAAATGTCTCACACTTAAGTTCCTTAAAGAAATATATAAATGACCACTTCTTTAAAAAGTGTTCTCCATACAGTTGCTAAATAATCTTCTGTGAGAGTAACCAGTGAGGACTTTCCAACAGGATCAACACACATTATCTGGATTTCCATTACAGTTGTAGTCCTCTCCATTACCTCTCACCATAAAAATACATACATATATATACATATACGTATACATTTAGGGTTTTTAAATATACATACCTATGTATATTATATATACTAGAGAGAGGGAGAAATGTATATGAATAACTGGATTTTGTTTTTGGAAAAATATCAAAATAAAATTGTATTTCAAACATTTACTGGAGAAAAAAATACAAACGCCACTGAATTCAGAAAAAAATGAAAAATAAAACACTTCATTTTTAGATTTTTAAACTGAAGCAATTTGGTAATATTAATACAAAATCAGTAATGTTGCAGTTTATTCAAACCTGTGCTTTCAGTGAAAAAAAGAAGAGGATGTTTCTCCATTTCTGTGTATGAACCCTAATTCTACTCTACCACTTGTTTTTTCTTGCTCCAGGCCTATTCTGCTTTTTAATTTTTTTTTTTTAGTACTGTCCCCTTTTCATGATCTTTTATTCTCCTATATCATCCTCTTCTTCTTTATTTCTTTGCAACTCCCCACCTCCTCCTCTCTTTTACTGCTGTACCTTATGTGATTCCAGCCAAGGTCTGGCAGGTAGGGCAACTTCTTCACCTGGATGATGCTGTCATAGAGGCTGGGCTGCAGACTCTGGGCCACCATGTTGGCAAGAATAACAGCCACCATCATGGGGAGGATGTGAGAGATCTGACCTGTCAGCTCGAAACAGATCACAGCGGTGGAGACAGTGTGGCTGACTGCTCCTGTCAGAGCTGCTGCACCTTTCCCAGGCAGGGTGGAAAAGGAATAGGGAGAGAAGACTGTCATACAGAAACAGCATGTCATGTCAACCAGAAATGTCATGGGGATGGGACCAGGAGAAGAAAAAGAAATACATGGAAACTCACCAATGACAGCATACCCTCCAGGTAAGATTTGATAAAGAATACCATCAAAGAGGATCCCATTGGGAAAAAGTGATGCCATGATTTCCCCAATAAGACGCCCAAATGCAGCACCTGGAAAATACCACTGACAATTATGGAATTAACATCTAAGGAATACCTACTCCATGCTGGGCAGCTGTCTGGGCAACCCCTTGAGTGTTTTTGAACAGAAACAAAATCAAAACCTACATTAAAATGACACTAGGGACTAAAGAGTAGTTCTCAGTTACAAAATACAGAAGTTAGACTCTAGGAGGACAAAAAGGTACTAAGATAGGTAAATACAGTTGACCCCTCATTCACACCAGGCACGGCGGCATTTGTGATTCCTTGGTAGGAGGAAATGTTTTGAGACTATGTACAATGTCAGTCCAGATCACAGTTGAGGCCCTTCAGACACTCATTCGATGAATGTCCAACCCTAGAATCTCAGCTTACAGAAGAGGTCAGGTGGGAAGGGACTTTTGGAGGTCTTGTTCTGACCCCTGCTCACAACAGGGTTAATTTCAAAGTGAGATCTAGTCACTCAGGGCCTTGTCCAGACAAGCTTTAAAAGTCTGCAAGTATGGAGATTCTCCGGCCTTTCTGAGCACCTTGGAAACATTTGTTTTCTTATGCACCATCAGAATTTCCCCTGTTGCAACTTGTGCCTTTACCTCCTATTTACTGTCTGTCTCTAAGAGGAGTCTTTCCATCCTCTATCCCCTGCTGCATTAGGTTGTGAAGGCCACAGTTAGATCCCCTCTTGGCCTTCTCTTCTGCAGGCTGAACAAGCCCGACTTCTTCAGGCTGTCCTTGTTCGTTTTGTGCTCCAGCTCCCCAACAGCCTCAGTGTCCTCCACTGGACTCATTCCACTTTGTCAAAAATCTCTTGTATCCATGGACACAAGATGGCACAATATTCCAGATTTGTGTCCAAAATACTAAATGCAAAGAAATAACCAATTTCTTTGCCTTGCTGGCTAGGCTTTTCCTAATATAGTCGTGTTTGTGGTTAGCCTTCATCACTGCAGTAACATGCTACTGACTCTTGTTCAGCTGCTGCCTGCCAGAACCGAGAGGTCCTTAGCACACAGCATTTCGTTTAAGAGCTGTGGGTAATTAATGCTGAACTTCATGAGCTTGTGTACTTTAATCTGTTATAGCCTCTCTTTCTTAACATTAGCATCATATTCTTTTTATTTTTTGGTCTTGGAATTAAGATGAGTTAAAAACCAATAAACTCCCATGTTACCATATTTCAGTCAGAAGAAATTAATAACTAGTGGATTACATTGCAGGTACTAGTTTTGAGGTTATCTCTTCTAGTTGACCTTCAGGGCGTAAAGGAGCAACTACTACTAATTGTAGGTTGAAAGTTTCTCTGTAGGTGAAGAGGCAGGGAAATTAGAAGGCCATGGCGTAGCATGCCTCCCCACAGTGTGGCTTCCATTTGTAACGGGACGGGGATTTCCTCCTCAGCATTTGGATTTGGGGGAATGGGCAAATGACAAAAGCAGAGACTCAGAGGCTGGTATATGGACAGTTAACTGAGCTTGTCATAGACATCAAGTGATGACTCCTCATCCACTGGAAGAAACCTACTGGGTACGTACACAATGTCTCTTATCCTCGCCACCTGTCAGACCTGTATGCCACAACACAAAATTGAAACTCACCTAGAACAAAAACAGGCATGAAGCCTCCACAGGGAATTGGCATCGTGGTAGCAATGACAGACATCCAGAACTAGAACAGAGGCAGAGGGTGCGGTTGTTACTGAGCAGCAATAGCATTTCCTGTAACCCCACTCTGCTGCCCAGCCTGTGACTCTGAGAGGGGACACGTTCTGAGGAATCTGGCTGCTCAGTGCAAAAGTGAAAGTAAAGGGGCAGTGGGGTGTGAAGGGGAGCTGGAGGGACTCTGACACCACAACAACACTGATGCAGAGGACCTCTGGGGAGTCTGCTGTGGTAGCAGGGAAGGTGAATCATCAAGGGGTTGGATGAACATGAGAAGCCCTTCGCCTTGGACCTCAGAAGTTGAGATTTCCTACTGCTCCAAGCAGCTTACCTTTTCATAGAACAGGGTTGTCAAAATTTCACAGACTCAGAAAGACTTCAGTGCGAAGGGAACTCTGTAGGTCTCTCCCTCCACTCCCTGCTCCCAGAAAGGCTAATTCCTAAATTAGATCAGCTTGCTCAGGGCCTTATCCAGGTGAGTTCTGAACATCTTGAAGGGTGGAGATCCCCCAGCTTTTCCTGGGCATTTGTGCCACTGCTGACCCACACTCAGAGGAGAAATTTTTCCTGCATTCCAACTGTCATAAGTTTTCTTTATTCTAGCTTGTGGCTGGTGCCTCTTGTCCTATCACTATGTTAGGCAAAATGATCAAACTCATCCTAGTACTGCTAAGACCAATTCAAATGCTGACTTAGCCTGGCACATATAGACTTCTGGAGACAACAGCCTAATCTTACAAACACCTCAGAGGCAAATATGCTCAGATTTTCTCAGGCAATATGACAAGAAATTGCCACAGTTGAGGAAAACATGGAAAATGCTGCTGTTTCAAGAGCTGTGTACTGCCAAGATGTCCCTCGCTGCAGCAGAATCATCCATAGGAAAGAGACAACCATGGTCCAACACATCAAGAGCAACACTTTCAGGTATTTCAGGACCATATTCTCCTCAGAGTGGGCAAATCCTTCCTGTTCAAGGTCCACCTTTGAGAAGGTGATGCCTCTGCAGATGTTGTAGCTGTAGACAGATGAGGTACTGATCTGTAGACAGTCAGTTTGGTGAGAGGAAATCCACTGAAGACAGCTTTTCCACTGTAACTCCCATAGGATGGTTGGCATAAAAGGGAAAATTAAGCCAAGATGTAGTCTGCCATTTAGGAAAGCCCTCTTCAAAGGTAACAAAGAGCCAGCAGAACAGCATTTCTCAGCCCATGGCAGAAGAACATGCTGTGAGGATGGATTGGACCATCAATTTGATACTGGCTGTTGCTCTTCCTTCCATAAGCCATTGAATATTCCAGAGGAGAAGTTCCTGGCTGGCTGCAGAGACCAATAAGCTTCAGAAGTGGAGTACTGCTAACTAAGCTCTGTCTTTGCAGTATCAAACCAGGCCAAATATGGCTGAGAACAGACTATAGTGCAGTGGAGAATCAGGTGAACTCTTTGCTCATAGTTGAAACAGCAGTTTCTTTTTTATGTGGTCTATCCCAACTCTGAATATAGCCAGAAGAAAATAAAATGCTTGGAGCAGTTATCTAGTGAACTGCGAAAGCCTTTACTTAATGGGACAAGGCCAATAAAACTTGTGTCTGAGGATACAGCTCTTCTGAAGGAGAACAGATGGACTCAGGATAGATGCATCATGTAGTCCATCCCTCTTTTATTAAATGAGACCTTATTTGCTTAGTACACCATAATCAGAATTATCATAGAAGCAGAACCTTTAACTGCTTGTCAGAAACTCGATAGTGTTTTACTTTAGGTGGAATCAGCTGTGTCAATCAATCATTGACATCCATTCCTGACCTACTGAAATGTTCAACTGATATTGCAAGGTGGCCTCAGCTCTTCTGCTCCTTTGCAACAACAACAACAAAAAATCACCATTTCTATGATATTTTTAGCCTTTTATTTTTTTTTTCCCCTCTTAGGAAAACTTCTTTCTTGCTACTTGTATTTTGAACACTGGAATATAGTGTTTTCTTCTTTTAAATCTCTTCTTGCTCTGTCATGTATCAGTTTCCCAGCTGATCGTTTCAGAGGCTGAACAGTTTCAACTTCCACAGACCATGTCAGCTCAGAACATTTAATCCACTGTTGCTTTCTGAGAAGTGAGCAAAACTGTTCTCAGCTGAATTTCTCAATCAAGTTATGGTACTGCTAACAAATCCTTGAGCCTCACACAAGTATAGGTTGTGCTTACATATTCTTATTTGTCTCCTATTTGTAGTCAGGAATACAAAGTAAACTGTATCAGACTTTGTTTATACCAAATATAAATTATCTGAGAGCTTTTTACTCAATTACTTATTTTTCTGGAACTTGAGAAATCTCCTGATTTCTGGTAGTCCTCCCTACCAACTACTACAGAGTGGGTACTGAAGGTCA